CTTTGTAATATGAATCCACCTGTAACAGTCCAAGTATGTTTATTACATGTTGGTCATCTTCTCTGGCTGTTACAGGTGGATTTATATTACAAAGTTTTTTCACTATAGAAGATGACCTACATGATAAATTGGAATAATGCAAAAAATAGCATATGAATGACACACATGTCAATGAAAAATACAAGAACCCTTCAACCTCCACTTAACTGGTAACACTCTCATCTATCTGGTATAGAAGTCAGAAAAATGTGGATATCCCTTTTAGAACATTCAAATACATTAGACAATTAAAATCCTAACAAGAAAAACCCCAGACATGTAGACAGTACGCCAGTGTAAAAAGATGATCCAGGATCACATCTTGGCCAATACCACCATGACACTTAAAAACTGAAATATACAAAAGCTTAATTTTCTTTTCTAAAGCTTACAGCCAAATAAAAATTCATCTTATACAATGTATTACTTTACATAGTTCACTGATAACAGCAACGAGGAGAACAAGTCATTCTTTCTTATACACAGTACCGACATTTAAAGCTGGGTGATTTAATCGATATAATGATTTCCTATAAGCAGTGATTACATCAATTAGTGTCATGTAAACTAACTAATTAATGAAAATTATGATTAAATTATTGTCACAAAAATAATCAACTAATCAAAATTAGTGTTTCAAATCATTCCACCTAACCAACTATGTTATTTTTAAGGATAAACGGCTATCTATACTCTACCCAATTTTAACCTTAGAAGTTCCTTTTCTTTTCACTTCAAGTTTGTTCAGCTTTAGTGATTTGAGAGAGGAAGAAGTGTCATGATTCAAAAATCTCAGGTTTGATTCCCACAAACTAGCTCATTTGCCTGGTTTTTGTTATGGCAAAGCTGCTAAGGTTATCTACCACTGTCACTAATTTTCAGCTGATAATTAAATGGAAGAAACAGAACCACAAGTAGAACACACTAACCAGAATTCAGAACTAGAACTAAAACACACTAATCCGATTTCAGAAATTGAACCACAAGTAGAACACAATAACCAGAATTCAGAACTAGAACTAAAACACACTAATCTGATTTCAGAAATTGAACCACAAGTAGAACACAATAACCAGAATTCAGAACTAGAACTAAAACACACTAATCTGATTTCAGAAATTGAACCACAAGTAGAACACAATAACCAGAATTCAGAACTAGAACTAAAAC